GGATGAGATGTTCATTTTCTCAGCTGTCATCCAACGCACCAAGAACCACCAAGACCCCCTGATTTGAACTGCGTGACTTCCAGCCACCCGCCAGCGCACACTTCTTCTTCTTCTTCTTCTTCCTCTTTTGTGACAACCAGCCATGCGCGTGTTGGTGTTTGCGGTGGCGTCGTGCCTGCTGCTTGCTGCGGGCTCGATGGCTGCCGATTATCAGCGGCACGAGTACACGACGGCTTATCAGCCCAAGCACCAGGAGTACACGACCAAGCACATGGAGTACACCACGGCTTACGAGGCGCCCAAGCAGGAGTACACCACGGCTTACGAGGCACCCAAGCAGGAGTACACCACGGCTTACGAGGCGCCCAAGCAGGAGTACACCACGGCTTACGAGGCGCCCAAGAAGGCTTACACGACCAAGCACATGGAGTACACCACGGCTTACGAGGCGCCCAAGCAGGAGTACACGACGGCTTACGAGGCACCCAAGCAGGAGTACACCACCAAGCACATGGAGTACACCACGGCTTATGAGGCACCCAAGAAGGCTTACACCACCGCCTACGTCGCACCAAAGCACCAGGAGTACACGACCAAGCACCAGGAGTACACCACGGCTTACGAGGCACCCAAGCACCAGGAGTACACCACCGCCTACGAGGCACCCAAGCAGGAGTACACCACGGCTTACGAGGCACCCAAGAAGGCTTACACCACCAAGCACATGGAGTACACCACGGCTTACGAGGCACCCAAGCAGGAGTACACGACGGCTTACGAGGCACCCAAGCAGGAGTACACCACCGCCTACGAGGCACCCAAGCAGGAGTACACCACGGCTTACGAGGCACCCAAGAAGGCTTACACCACCAAGCACATGGAGTACACCACGGCTTACGAGGCACCCAAGCAGGAGTACACGACGGCTTACGAGGCACCCAAGCAGGAGTACACCACCGCCTACGAGGCACCCAAGCAGGAGTACACCACGGCTTACGAGGCACCCAAGAAGGCTTACACCACCAAGCACCAGGAGTACACCACCGCCTACGAGGCACCCAAGTACACCACCAAGCCCGCCTACCCACGCTACACCCAGCACCAGGAGTACACCACACGCCCCGTGTACACCACGCAGCCACCCGTGTACACCACGCAGCCACCCGTGTACACGACAGAGGCCGTGTACACCACACGCCCCGTGTACACCACCAAGCCACCAGTCTACACCACCAAGCCACCCGTGTACACGACCAAGCACCAGGAGTACACGACGGCCTACGAGGCGCCCAAGAACGAGTACACGACGAAGAACGACTACGCCTACGCCGACAACAACTCTGGCGCCTCTGGCGCTGGGGATGCCGCTGCAGGCCTCTCTGCGGGCGCCATTGCCGGCATTGTGGTTGGCGCGCTGCTGCTTGTTGGCGCTGTTGTTGGTGGCGTCTTCTTCGCCAAGCACCGCGCCAACGCCTCTTCCTCCTCGTCCTCCGCCGTTGAGTCCGTCTAAGCAGCAGCAGCAATTGACAGCAGAGGCATCACCAGCAGCAGCGACAGAGGCAGTGCCGGCTGCTGCTTTGCTCTCTGTGACGACGACGACGATGACGACGACGACGACGACGACGGGATGATGACCATGCTTGCTTGCTTGCTTGTTGCACCATTTTGTTCATCTGCGTTTCTTTTCATTCACCTGTCTGTTTGACCCCCCCCCCCTCCTTCCTTGCTTTGCTGTCCTGCTGTGCCAGCCATGACGGGTTTTGTTTTTGTTTACATATATTCACCTCCCTACCGCAAAAGACCTGGATGTCTGCTTAACCCCCTGTTGTGAGGCGTTGTCTCTCTCTGTCCTGTTCTGTCCTGTGTGTGAAATGATGATGGCTGCTGGTCCTGTGTCGCTTCCTTCCCTCCTCGCACTAAAACGAATCAAGCATTTAAGTTGGCAGAGTGTTTTGAATTGTTATGTCGGAGACTTCCATTTGACTCGAGCACTGCGCTGATGAGAGCAAGCTGCATGCATGTATGCATGATACATGGACGGAGGAGCGTGTGTTCATTTCAGAAACACCACTGAAACGCATGGTCAAGAATATATTCGATGAACCGGTAACACGAAAGCGAGGGTGTGTGTGTGTGTGTGGGGGGGGGGGAATGCAGGTGGATAGACAATCAAGTTGTCTACACATTCAGACGGGCTGTGACGACAACAAGATTCCTTCGCAGCAAATCAAGTTTTGAACCTGGGAAGGTGTCAAACATGCACATACGTGCGTGAGCACAGGCAGAAGGTGGCGACAGGTTCAAGAGAGAAGAACAACAGACAGCTGACTTTGGCAAGAATTTGCTGTGACAGAGGCTGCAGCCACACAGGCAGCGAGGCAGAGACAGACAGACAGACAAACAGACACACCGCGCAGCACACACAGCCAGAGCATTTTAGCGGGCCGCGAAACGTACTCTGCGAATCATGCGCTGGGCCAGCTGCTGTGGAGGCGGCTGGTAAACGGTGTTTGTGTCTGCGGAGGAGATGAACTTTTGTCGCAACAAGTGCATGGCGTCATCGACATCTGCTTCCTTGTCAGCATCATTGTCAGCCTGTGCAGACACGCAACCATGCACATGCACAGCAGTCAGTGGAATGCACACGTATGCACACGGGGGACACACACAAGTTTGTTGACGTGCATGAGCAAGATAAACCGTTGAAAAGCAACAGCAGCAGCAGCAGCAACAGCAACAACAACAACAACAACAACAACAACTGCAACAACAACAACAACTTAAACAACAACAACGATCACAACAACAACAACGATCACAACAACAACGATCACAACAACTTAAACAACAACTTAAACAACAACAACGATCACAACAACAACAACAACAACAACAACAACAACAACAACAACAACAACAACAACCACAACAGCAACAACAGCAGCCAACTGTTCATACGTCAAACACACCAGTGCGACGCGATGGAGCTTCTCGTACACTTGGTCAAACAAGTCCGCGCCAAGTGCATGTACACACGAGCCACGAAGCTGCAGCATGAAGCAGGGAATGTAATGACGTTGTGGTGAGTGAGAGAGTGTGTGTCAGTGGATGAGGGTGAGTGCGCGTGCACGAGCTCACGATAGCACAAACACACGCTCGGTGAGGTGGTGCTGCGGCGCCGTGCACAGGTGATTGTTGCATGTAGATATGCTTGTGTGCATGGGGCATTCATTGAAGCAAAGAACGCGCGAGCTCAAAACACTCTAAACACCTGGACCAGCACACAATTTGAACCATGCAACACGAGATGAAGCGCGCGGGCTCCACCTCCAACACCACCAACACCAGCACCAGTACCAGCACGGGCACGGTGGCGATCAAGCTCACGGCTCACCTCCAAGACGTGTTTAGCGAGCGCGTCTTCGCCCCGCTGCGTCGCTGTGCTGCCCCTTGCCTGTGCTGACTCAGCACTACACGCTGTTGTTGCCGCTTGCGCTGATGACGACGCTGCTGGTTGCTGCGCCTTCCCCTTTGTTGCCTTTGTTGCAGCTCGCGTTGCTGAGGTATTCGACCCCTTGGTTGACTTGTTAGCACCAGGCTGTGAAGCGGCAGGAGCGTGTGTCGTAGCAGTTGCTGCCGTTGTGGTTGATGGAAGATCGTTTGCTGCCAGCTCAGATGTCATGGCTTTCTCCAGGTTGGACACGACAGCCTGACAGACCGTGACGGGTTGTGGGCAGTGGAAGATGACTGGACGTGAGGTATCGAAACGCACGGTTGCATCGGCAGCTGTGGATGCAGAAACGCACACGCGCACAGATGGCGGAGGCACTCGCATAACAACAGCACCACAAGCGACAACAAGCAAGAGCAGCCACAGCAGAGCAGCAGCAGCAGCAGCAACTTCACCTGCACATCATGGCGGTCCTGCTCTGCCTCTGAATCCGAGGTCGCGTCGCTTCCATCGTCTTTAGCGCGCACCCGCTCGCGTGCTGGGGCATCACGCGTTCTGGCGCTATCGTAGCATTGCATACACAATACAATACGATAAGACAAGGTACAGCACACGCATACACGCGAGCAAGCACAGACGCACACACGCAAGCAAGCATACACACACACACACACAGTCAAAGAATGGAGTTGGAGCGGTGTTAATTTCACAAACAAGGTCTGTCTCAGAGCAGCGCAGCGGATGCAATCGCTGTTGCAGTGCACGTACCGATGCTGCATTGACTTGACCTTGTCGCTCAGTTTGATTTCCTGTCATTTCGGAGTTGGTTTGAGAGATGCAGCAGGTGTATCTCGTCAGCATATACACAGATGTACACATTCAGGCACGTGCACACACGCATACACACGCAAGTACGCTGTCTCTTCACTTGACATACAGAAATGGCACTCCATGAGCAGACATGCCAAGAACTATCAGTCTTGCTCTCACACCCAGGGACACGAGTGCACAAACTTTCTCCTTTGGCAGCAAATGACGCACCACAACAATGTCCTGCTCTTTGTTGACGCGTTTTCGTCCCTCGCGCATTCGCGCACGCAGTGACTTGCGCTGCTCCTGTGAAGCGAAAAGGCCGGAGTTATAACAACGTGTGAGCACACGTACACACGAACACGCATACACACAGTCACTGTCACACACGCAGAAACCATTGAACGCACACCACCACAACGGCAACAATAACAGCAACACCAGCAGTGTGCGTATGGCAGTACCTCTCGCCTCCGCGCGCGTTCGCTCGCGTCCTGCGCTTCACCCTCCTTCACATCAGCGGGCGCCCCTGCCGACGGCAACGATGTCTTGATGGTTGTCGTGGACGTGCTTATACCATCACCATCACCATCATCAAACGCCGCTGTTGTGTCGGTCGCTGTCATTGGTGGTTGCTGGCGGAGGCCGGCGCGGCCCACGGGTCGGGCGAGAGACGCTGGTGCTGTCATGTCGTCACCATCACGATCACCGCCATTGTGATCAGCATCAGTGTCCTCGTGCTGCTGCTGGCTGGGGGATGACCCACGCTGCGCTTGTGGCTTCCTGTTGCCTGAATTGTTGTTGTTGTTGTTGTTAGAGGGCAAAGACGCAGTGTGTGATGATGATGATGATGACGGGCCTGCAGTGGTCCAACACGACAGCGCACGCGTGCGATTGTGTCTATGCAGGGGAGAAAGTGTGTGTTGGGTGTGTGTGCAGGTGTGTGTGTGTGTGTTTGTACAGGCGTCCATGTTGCATATGTGCGTGTGTTGTGTGATTTGCCCCACCTTTGCGCACGACCTGCACCTTTGATCCGGCCTGCCGTATTTGGCGAACCCGTCGCTCGTGCTCCTGTTGCGCAGAAAATAAAGTGATCACGCATGCGGTCATCTGCTTGGTGGGAGGGCATGTCCAACACGCACACACAGATACACACGCACGCACACACACATGCACAAACACACACATGCACAAGCACGCACGTACACACACATGCACGCACGCACGCACACGAACACACAAGCACAAGCACGCACGCACACACACACATGCACACACAAACCTGCAGCTTTCTCTTCTCCTCCTCACGCCGCGCCTTTGCGTCCTTGCGCATCTGCTGGCGCTTCCTGTTGAGATCGCTGTCGTGGATGATTTCCCTCGTCGTCATCGAGCGACGCGATCGACTTGTCGTTGCCGTTGACGATGATGATGATGATGATGACGACGCTGATGGTGCTGATGGCGACTGAGATGATCGTGTGGATGCGTTGGCTTTCGTCGTCGTCGATTTGAGCATGGACGGTGACGTGGACCTGCGCCCAGCACCCGTACCACCAACACTCCTCCTCGCCTTTGTCTTCTTCGCACCACTGCCAATGCCATTACCACCACTGCTGCCAACTGCGACTGTGCGCCCGAGCGTGATGCCACCGACCGATCGGCGGTCCCTCGCGTTCGTCCTCGGCCCTCTCAGCCCCGACGACGCTGCTGTTGTCCTCGTTGTTGTTGTGGTGGCTGTGGTTGTCGTGGTGGTGGAGTTGAGCTTGCGTGTCCTGCCGTTCACCGCTGCCTGTGTTCTCCCCACCTCCCCTGCGGGCGCTGATGCTGTGGACGTGACGGATCCGGTGGATGACGATGACGACGTGCGTGACCGCGTGGCTGCCGCGGCGCGCACGTGTGTCGTAGACGGCAGCAATCGCCGTGGTCGCCCACCCTTCTTCGTCACCGTCGCTGCCGCCGTTGCTGTTGGTGGTGCACTTGCAGCGCCATCCTTGTCACTGCTTGTCTTCGACACCACCATCGTCTTTCCAAAGTCTGCTCCCAGGGCGTCACCATCATCACCATCACCGCCACCTGTGCTCACCGGCTTGGTCGTTGTGCCACCATCACGATTTGCTGCTGCCTTCTTCTTGCGTCCACCAAACGCGGCTGCTAGAACACGTCGGGTTCTGCTCTTCCCACCACCACCGCGAGATGCTGCTGTTGTTGTTGTAGTTGTCGTTGGTTTTGATGATGTTGCTTGTGATGCTGTTGTGGCTGATGATGACGATGGTGCTGATGTTTTCGTTGCCGCTGTGTCGCCTGAAGGTTTGCCTGTCTTGCTGGCCGTTGCTTTGCTCTTCGTTGGTGATGTGCGTCCAGTGTCTTTCGACTGTGGAACAAGTGGCAATCGGTGGTGGATCACGAGGGAAGGCGCGCGTGGGTATGCGATCAAGCGTGCGCGTGTGTGCTGAAAGCAGTGCATGTGTGTTTGTGTGTGTGTGTGTTTTTGTGTATTTTTTTTTTTTGTGTGTGTGTGTGTGTGTGTGTGTGTGTGTTTGCTCATGGCATGGCTTGGGTAATCGCACCTGCTGCTTTGGCGCGAGGGATTGCCGCTTCTTGGGCGGTTTCCTGTGCAAACATTCAAGTGCATGGAGGCCGGCATGCGTGGGAGAAAATCAAGTGCATGCATATCAAACGTGCACGCATCAGCAGTGGAACAGAATGCAGACACACACACACACACATCCACACACCACACGCACACATACTCGCGCGCACAAGCACACATACATTTACTCGTACACACATACACACCGCTTTGGTGGTGCAATGTCAACTGAGAAGGACACCGCTGTGGGCACAGGATCCACTGCGCGGAACACGTTGTCTTGAACGGATGTTTGTTGCGTCTCCTGTTTGTTCTGTGGCATGACAATCTCGCTGCTTGTAAATGCGTTTAGCTTTCGAGGCTGCGGCATGGGGCCCTGGCCTTCCACGGATTCCACGCGATGGAGAGGCGACCGCCGCTTCTCAGATCCGCCGCGCACGCGCGCGAGCGCATTGGAGTTTGCAACCGGTGCATCGCCCGCGGTGAACGTCTGATCGTGCTGCTGCTGCTGTGGTTGTTGGTGCTGGTGGTGTGTGGGTGCTGCTGCGAGTGACGAAGCGGAAGAGTGCCGGGACCGCCGCCGCTCCAGCAGATTCTCGTAGCACCACGTCTTCACAAACTCCCGGTGCAGGATCTAGCGGGTGGTGGTGCGAGGTGGTGATGGCGGGTAGTGAGGGTGGATGGGGTGTTTGATGGTGTGATAAAGCTGAAGGAGGAGGGAGATGCATGACGAACAAAGGCGTGTACGTCAAGCACTCGCTGCGAGCACAAGCATTGATCGCCATCATCATGACGATGACCAAGACCACCACCGCGACCACCAACGCTCGACGATGGTCACCAACACTGCCACCATCGTCATCACCACGACCACCATGAGTATGTGTGTTGTGACCATCACCTCTGCGGCGGAGGGGCGGGCACTTGGGTCGTTTGCGAGGAGCGAGTTGATCAGATCATGCATTCCCTGGGAATACTGGCCCGAGATGGGCGGAAACCGACCTGTGCAGCAAATGCATTGTGGATGGCAACGACGACGACGATGATGGTGATGATGATGGTGATGATGGTGATGATGATGATGATGATGATGATGATGATGATGATGATGATGATGATGATGATGATGATACTGGTGACCATCTGCTGTCCACGACGCAATCAGCAGCGCGAACACACACACACACACACACACACACACACACACACACACAAGCGGTACCGTTCATGATTTTGAGGACGAGGGCTGGCAGACTCTTGCCGTTGAAAGGGTGGTTCAGCGTCAGCATCTCATACAAAAGACACCCAAGTGCCCATATGTCGCTCTTCTTGCCGTATGGTTTGTCCTGAGGACCAAAAAAAAAAAAAAAAACGACGTATGTGTAAGTGTGTTTGTGTGTGTGTGTTTGTGTGTGTGTGTGTTTGTGTGTGTGTTTGTATGTGCACGTGTACGTGTGTGCACGTGTGCAAGGGAGGGGAGGACAAGTTGTGAGTGTGGTCCACTGTCGGCACAAGAGCATTGCCGGCTGTGTAGAATTTGCCACCTTCGGACAGGCAGCCAACCTGACATACAGCCTGCAAGACATCTAGAGAACAGAGGAATGACAGAGACGTGCCGGGTGGTGAGCAAAAGCACCTCGCACAGCTCCGGGGAGAGGTTGTAGGGCGTTCCCACGAGCGTGTTGGCAAATTGCGTGTTGTTGGAGAGCACTTTTGCAATGCCAAAGTCCCCCAGTTTGACAATGCCTGTGCACGTGCAATGTCAGTGGGTACAATGAGTAGCTGCGGGGGAGCGATAACGGTGCGTTCCCACAGGTGCACGAGTAGAGACGAAGACAGACAGAGAGACAGAGAGATGTACAGAGGCAGAGACAGACAGACAGACAGAGAGATACACAGAGGCATAGACAGACAGACAGACAGACAGACACACACACACACAGACGCACACATGCCCATACACACACACAGAGAGACACACGCCCACACACGCACGCACCGTTGCGCATGATGAAGACGTTTTGCGATTTGATGTCGCGATGCATCAGGTTGACAGAATGGCAATAGCTCAGTGCCGACGTGACTTGCACAAACCTGGCAGCAATTGCACGTGTGCATGTGTGAGCTTGGGGCGTGCATGGCATGCTCCAGTACCAGCAGTTGAGAGAACCGCCGACACTGACAGTGGAAGTTAATGTGTGGCGGCAGTACACGATGCAATACATACCAGTTCATCACGTTTGACTCCTCAAACAACGCGCTCTTGGCGCGCTGCAATGCATGGCATGCATGTGCGTGCAAGTATGTGTTCGCGAGATGAATGTGTGCACATAGCCAGGTGTGAGTGTGTGAGAGGGAGAGTGAGTGTGTGAGTCAGTGAGTCAGTGGGTGAGTATGTGTGTGTGTGTGTGGTTGCCATGAGTGCAGCTCAATCAACGCTTGCACGCGCGCACCTGCGCATCGATGGCCTGGCACAGATCACCGTTCTCTGCGTACTCCATCACGATGTGCAGATATCCACCCTGAATGAAGCTGTCATTCGCCATGGAAAAGAGGCAGTCAAGCCAGACATCGTTAGGTGTGTTGGAAGGAGGCCGAGGGCATCAGTGCAGGGAAAGGCGCTTGCTCACTGATGGCAGTACTTTGCATACCATGGATCGAGCAGCTTGACGATGTTGGGGTGGTTGAGAGACAGCATCACGCTGGCCTCGAACTTGGCCTCTTCGCGTTCCTTCGCCGACATTGTGTCAATCTGTGAGGAAGTACATACACGAAAGGTGATGAGCGGCTGGTACATGGTCGCTGGCATGTCATGGTTAGGGTGGGGACATCGCGGGCGATGTATGTGCGTCTCAAGGGCACCTTGATTTGTTTGATGACGCGATATGCACCATTGTCCTTCCGCTGCACCAGAACACAGCTGCATGATGTATGTGTGGGTGTGAGTGAGTGAGAAAGGGAGAGAGAGAGTGTGTGTGCATGCGTGTGCGTGTGTGTGTGTGCATGAAGAGCGTGCATGACTGTGCTTCTGTGCTTCTGCGTGTGTGTGTGAGCGAAGAGACGGTGTGATCACGCCAGTCTATCTTTCTCACCTTCCATAGGAGCCACTCCCAATGTTCTTCACGCGGGTGTACACCTCCATCGCGCTTCAGTCTGCGATGGATGAAGGTCAAGGCCTGGGCGTGCACTCTGATTGTGGATGCAGCAGGTGTTGCTTTCGTTGCCAAACACAACACAACAACAGCCAAATCCGTTTTTTTGTCACTGCAGACGCGACTGAATTCAGGGTGTGTGTGTTGTGTGTGTGTGTGTGTGTGTGTGTGTGTGTGTGTGTGTGTGTGTGTGTGTGTGTGTGTGTGTGTGTGTGTGTGTGTGTGTGTGGTTGTTGTTGTTGTTGTTGTTGTTGTTGTTGTTGTTGTTGTTGTTGTTGTTGTTGTTGTTGTTGTTGTTGTTGTTGTTGTTGTTGATGATGTTGTTGTACAAACACGCTCTCATCCCCCTTTCTCCTTGCTCTGCGACTGCCACTCCAATTTAATTCTCCTCTTGTATTCTCTACCCACACGCACACGCACATGCACATGCACACGCGCATGTGTGGTGTCTGTTAAGCTTGTTGAACCTTGCGTGCCTTGAGCCGCATGTTGGCGAGGGACGTTGGGAAGACCACGTCCTCTTCCTCATCGTCGTCATCATCGCCAGCACCAGCATCGCTGTCGTCGAGGTTCGCGTGCAGGTGCGAGCGGCGGTCACCAAGCCCCTGCAGCACGCTTGTTGGCGCCGCCAGCGCTGCCCGGCGATACACGATGCTTGACCCGTGCCGTATTCTGCGGCGGTACACCTGTACACACACACACAAGTGCATGCGAGTGAGTGTGTGGGCGGGGAGTGTGGGTGAGTGAGGGGGTGGGGGCAGTGCACGTGCTGCCCTTTGTGCGGGCGTGGAGCACACATGACACAGACACACACAGACACAGGCACACACAGACACACACAGACACACACATACATACACACACACATACATACACACACACACACACACACACACACACACAAACTTACACACACACACACGTGTGGGTGAGGGCATGTCTGCAACGTACCCAGACGATGATTATCATGACAATGACGCATGCGGTAATGACAGCAGCAATGCCACCAGGGCTCAGCACTTTGCTGGCAAGGGCTACAGTGTTGGTGTTGGTGGTGATGTGGCAAGAGGGTGAATGCGTGGTGGCGCAGGAAAGGTGTGCAGTTACGTGCGGGGGTGTTAGTCGTCAAGTCATCAAGATGAGCATACAACTCCATACAGTTCAAGAACACATGCCTGTTTACACACACACACACACACACACACACACACACACATACACACATACACACACACATGGTGTGTGCTACACACTTGGCACGCTGCAGTCTGGATGCCAGTTGCTGGGAACAAGCTTCTCCGTTGCAGCAACAAACGTCTGTGATGTTCACAATGCGATGTGATGTGATGTGAGGTGACAGTCAGGAATGGGTGCTGCGGTGAATTCAGGCTCAGGCTCAAAGAGAGGGAGCGGTGGTGGCAGCAAGCAGACGAAGAGGACATTTGGTTTCATGCACCGCAGCAAGAGCGTCCTGACAGAAACACGACGCATTGCTGTGCGCGGCAAGCGTGCTCACGTCGAATGGGCAAGGCTTGTCCTTGGGGCAGCCTGGGATGACAAGGCGGATTCCAGTGTCTGCGTTGTCCTCTGGCCGCATCTTGTACAGCACGTCCACCTCGTACTTGCCCTCGCCCGCACTGTACAACTCCATGCGGATGGAGGCAGCGTACGGCGGCGACAGCCTTCAAGGGCCGCGGGAGGGGACGGAGCGCGTGCATGTATGGGTGCATGGATGTATGTGTGTGTGTGTGTGTGTGTGTGTGTGCATACGTTGAGCGTGTGTTATTGTGCGCGTGAGAGAGAGAGAGTGTGTGTGTGTGTTGAGTGTGAGTGTGTGTGTGAGTGTTGTGTGTGAATGTTGCGTGTTGTGTTCAGTGTGTATGTGTTAGTGTTGTGTGCGAGTGTTTTGTGTGTGTGTGTGGGGGAGTGTTGTGGAGTGTGCCAGTGAACATCACGACTCCACACGCGTGACCGCACTTTGGGTGGGAGACGTTGAGTGCTTGCAGGAAGGCGGCCACCGTCGTGTCGTGCGCGGAATACAACAGCGCCTGCACAGATAACAAAACAGAGGGGGGAGGGGGAATGAATTGTGATATGGGTTGAGTGTCCGTTATGGTGGGGAGGGTGACTTGTTCGTGTGAGGGTGCGTGTGCCTTGTTTACGTTCATGCGTGCGTGTGCGGTGTACGAAGGGATGTGCTCGCTGCGAGCAGTCTGCTTCTGGACGCACACACACACACACACACACACACACACACACACACACACACACACACACACACCTTGTATTTGGATGACCCATCAATGGTGTCTTGCATCTCATTCCGCATTTCCTTCAGCAGCAAACCTGCAGCAAATTGCAGTGCAATATGGTTGGCGGCGCGCGCGTCAGCAAGCGAGTGCTATTGTGCGGCTGCTCCTCATTGTATTTGCGTGTTGTTGTTGTTGTTGTTGTTGTTGTTGTTGTTGTTGTTGTTGTTGTTGTTGTTGTTGTTGTTGTTGTTGTTGTTGTTGTTGTTGTTGTTGTTGTTGTTGTTGTTGTTGTTGTTGTTCATCTGTATACACCGCTTGCTGCACGCCTTCCAGCCTGCACACTCACCGTCACCGATCACTACCCACCAGCCATCAACACCAATCACCCACTACAATGGCACCGCTGTCGCGTTCTCACCGCCGCTGAGACGGGCTCGCTCCTCTCCCGTGAATGCGATGAACATATCCCAGTTCTCCAGTCGCTGCACACGTGTGCGTGCGTGTGTGTGAATGTGTGTGTGTGTGTGTGTGCGTGTATACATGTGTGTGTGTGTCGTATCGAGGAAGTGAAAAAGTCACGTCACGTCACAGCAAAACAAGAACAAACCACGCAAGCGGTATTGCAGCACACCGCACCCACATCAGTTGTGGTTGTTCGTGGATACCTGCAGGTAGTCCTGGAGGATGCCATCGCAGCCATCCGACACATACACGTGCGCGCCCACGGTCAAGTTGTGGTGCAGACGGCACAGGTTCGTGTCCGAGATCTGAGACAGTGCACGGACGTACGGAACAGCGAGAGAATAAGTGTGTGTGTATATGTGTGTATGTGTGTATGTGTGTATGTGTGTATGTGTGTATATGTGTATGTGTGTGCGCGCGTGTGAGGTGTGGATGTGTGTGTGGGTATGTGTATATGTAAGTAACGCAAAGTAGTGTGAGAGTGTAAAGCGAGACGCGACACATGAAAAAGCAAGGCGAGCACGATGCGAAAGCAATGCAAAACCAAAGGCAAACAGTAGCATCAGCAACCAGAGTGAGATGCACGACAAGCATAAGAACAGCAGTGTTAATGTGGTGTTGTGGTGGCCAGCGTACCGTCCACACATTCCGTGGAGAGAGCGGCGTGGGTGCACCGACGAGCGTCGTCAAGTGCTCCAGCACATCTCCATACGTGCACGTGCCAGAGACGCTGCGTGCGCGTGTGTTTGTGTGTGTGTGTGTATGAGTGAGTGTGTGTGAGTGAGTGTGTGTGTGTGTGTGTATGTGTGTGTGAAGTGGGAAACAAGGGCAGGCGCGTGATGCAACTGGCTAGAAGTATGTATGTATGTATATCAACGCGACGGCACACACACACACACACACAAAAGTTACTGGGCCCACTCACGTGACGTTACAGGAGGGATCAGGCTGTGGCTTGGGTTGTGGCGGCGCTGGTGTGTCCTTCTTCAGCTTGTTCAAGTTCTGACACAATGAGGAGCACAGTTGAGGACGGAGCGCGTGAGCTGCGCAACACATCTAGCTACGAGCAAGTAAAAGCAACTGCCACCAACAGATGCGCACATGGGGGCCGAGGTACACACCAAGACAGACAGACAGACAGACAGACAGACAGACAGACAGACAGACAGACAGACAGGTAGAAAGGAAGACAGACAGACAGGTAGCAAGGTAGAAAGACACACACACGAACACATGAACACAAACACACACACACACACGTGTGTGCACGAGACCTTGCAGAGGGCGTCGGGAACGGGCTCGGCGGCCTTATCAGCAAAGACTGGATCCAGCTCTCTATACAGGTACTGGAGGTGCTCACAGTGGTCCCGACTGGAGCCAAGCAGCAGGTTGTCGTCCTCCACGGGCACGGTGTGGATGGGGAATGTGCGGCAGAGGCACGTTGGGGACGCGTTGGTGGTGTCTTCGTCGCAGAACCACCCGCTCATCAGCGCCTGCGCAGACTCAAGCGTTCGCTCGTAATCCGTGCTTCGCACGCGTACCTGCCAGTGTAATGCCAGTGTACATTGGCGCACATCAAATGTTAGCGGCATAGAATAAACGGTTGGCGTGGTTCGCTAGAGATAGAGACCAAAGGTGCAACGCGCATTGAGACACACACACACACACACACACACACACACACACACACACACACACACACACACACACACACACACACACACACACACCCTCACTCACTCACAGACACACAAACGCACGGTTGATGGATGATAGGTGCTAATGGCGTCTTTGTAGTGCTGTTGAAAGAAGCGACCGAGGTGAAAATGCATCTCCCGCCCACGCTGGGTCAACTGTCCCAGACCCATGGGCCAGTCTGTGCTCTCTGTGTCCTCATACAGTGGAATGGAAGCAATCTGCGACCTATCGCCGTGCCTGAAGAGCTGGCATTGTAGCGCAGACCATTCCACAATGTAAAAACGCAACTACCACAGCAATGACAGCAGCATGTTCACGCTCACGCTCTTGTTCACGTTCACGTTCACACTCACGCACTGGCACGTTTATCCCTTCTCCTTCCCCTCCCCCTCCCGTACACGCACCCACATGCCACCTCTCACGCCTTACCACTTGTGTCAACAGCAGCGTGCGCTCATCCCCAGCAGCAGCGGCCCCTGCTGTCGCTGTCGCAACAGGTGCTGACAGCAGCACCACCAGCCAACACAACATCATCTGCATCGTCATCGTCATCGTCCTCCACCACTGCCGTCTGTTTTTGGCACTGTCGTTCCGAAAAATATGCGCATCTCCCACCAGTTTTCCATTTCCCAGTTCTTGTGGCTGGTTCGCCTTTTGGTCGCTCGCGCGAACTTGTGTTGGTGTTGTTGTTGTTGTTGCATGGAGAGTGGGTGAGAGTGTGCTTTCCTCTCCTTCCGTCCCCTCATCTCTGCGTGTGTCCCTCTTTCCACCCCCTTGCCTCTCCTCTGGTGTCTCTTCTACTCCTCCTTCCTCTTCGCTTGCTGCTTCCTTGCTTGCTCTCCTTGCTTGCTTGTCTGCAAGCCGGCGTCTCTGGAGACAGCACCCGCAACACACGCGCAGACAAGAACGGCGACACGGACGTCCACGTGCAGTCGCAACCCCTACACGTCGTGGCACATTCTCAACCATCACCATGACGACGCAGTCCGACGTCTTCTTGTATGGCCGCTCAATCGGCACAAACATCAGCGTGCAAACGCAGAGCGGAAGCGTGTACCGAGGCATCCTGAGCAGCGTTGACCCGAAGAGTGGCGACCTGTACCTGCGCATGGCATACCTCGTCAACGACAAGAGCGGTACGTGTGCGTGCGTGTGTGTGCGTGTGTGTGCGTGTGATACGCGCAGTGCATGTGTAGTTGCTGTAATGCTCGGTTTCGCGTTTCGCGTTCTTTCTCTCTGTTCCTGGCCTCTTCTCCTTTCCTCTGCCCCTTCTCCCGTCTTTTCGTGTCTTTCCGTTCTGTGGGGTCTGCAATGATGAGTCACAACATCCTTTCGCTTCGAGCCACTGCCGGCACCATGCAGCTGCACGCCGCGTTCGCGCGAGTGTGTTGTCTGCATGTGTGCATGGACGAGTGTCGTTGAAGACAATTGTGGGGCCGGGGCAACATTGGCCGTAACGCGGCAGTGTTGACCCCGGCTGAGCGGCCTCCCCCCCCCCATTGTGTTGCTTGTGTCGCATTCGTGTGCGTGTGTGCGTGCGTGTGTGCGTGTGAGCGAGTGAGTGTGCGTGTATGTGTTGTTGTGTTGTGTTGTGTTGTGTTGTGTTGTGTGTTGTTGACACAGCGTCTGTCACACGCCTCACTCACCGCCGCCTGGTTTTGCTTTCGTTGTTGTTGCTTGCAGGTCCCAAACCATTTGACTTTCCTGAGCCCGTGCCAAATCAGGAGACGTGCATCCAGCAGCTCTGCATCGAAGTGTGTGTGTGTGTGTGTGTGTGTGTGTGTGTGTGTGTGTGGCTGTGTGTGTATGAGCGTGTGTGTGTGCGTGTGTGCGTGATTGTGCGAACACACGCTGCGCGTCAACCGCCGTCTCACGCACTGACACGTGTCCACTTGCGCGTGCCGTGCCTGTGCTGCATGTCAGTGGAAGAAGATTGGCCAGGTGCATCTGCCGCAGGTCGACATATCCGTTGCACAGAATCCCGCGCGAATGGCAACCGCAGACACAGGATTGGACGAGTTTACCGACGCCGGCATCTCAAAGACCGCCCCCTCCAACCAGCCCCGCAAGTTCACGGTCAGTGCCTCCTGTAGGCTCACGCATGCATGCACGCGTGTGTGTGTGCATTGGGTGGAGTATGTTTGCATTTGTGTGCGTGCATGTGCTCATTCACACCCCGCTATCACCACCACACTGCCTTTTCCGTGCCACTGCTTGGTTCTCTGTAGCGGTGGGTTGCCTCTGGCGAAGACGACACGCTGGACACTCTGGAGGGATCATCGTCGGCAGGGGTGCGTCGACACCGCAATCGTGTGTGTGTGTGTGTGTGTGTGTGTGTGTGTGTGTGTGTGTGTGTGTGTGTGTGTGTGTGTGTGTGTGTGTGTGTGTGTGTGTGTGTGTGTGCTCACACGGTGAATTTTTTTTGCGTGTGTTATTGTGTCTGAACGTGTGTATGTATGGACTTGCATCAGGGCTGGTCAGCAGAGGACATGCTGCGTACGAACAAGGAGAAGTTTGGCATTGACGTGTCCTTTGACGAATCCCAATACACGTCAGTGTGTATGAGTGTGGGATGGTTGATGTGATTGTTATTGGTGTGGCTACCGTGCCTGTGTGTGTTTTTAAATGCGAATACATGTGTACATGCTCGTGCAACTTTCCTTGAAGCCCTCGTGCTTCATTCCTCACGTCACCACCACCATCATCACCACCACTATCACCACCACTATCATCACCATTGTCACCACCGCCAGGACGATGCTTGACGAGAGCAAGCTGTCAAAGGCCGACATTGCCGCCGCCAACTCCCTCGCCCGCCAAATCACCGGAGGTGGGCCCTCGTGTGTGTGTGTGTGCATGTGTGCATGCGTGTGTGCGTGTGTGCATGGATATGTGTGTGCGTACAAATTTGGGGTGGAGGGCGCACGGGCGCATGCATTTGCGGTGCATCACGTTGAGTGCTGCTGGTTCGTGTTTGTGTCCTCATCGCATATCTGGTGCGGGTGCAACTGCAACTCTGCGTGTGTGTTCAGGGAAAGGAAAGAAGAGCGGGCGCACAATGGCCGACATCAACCGCTCAGACGACGTCAGTGCTGGCGCGTCTTGTGCGTGTGCACGCGTGTGTGCATGTTCGAATGGATGTGTGTGCGTGTGTGCGAGTGTGTTACAGAGAGATGGTGTGTGGGTGTGTGTGTGGGTGTGGGTGTGCACGTGCTTGCTCATTGTTACTTTTTCGTCATTCTCTTCACGGCCTCACCGCCGCGCCTCATGCGTTGCTGACTTGCAGGACAAGTACAGCGCCGTCACACGCGACGATCAGCAGCAGCAGCAGCAGCAGCAGGCATCCGCGCCTGATAAAGCTGTACGCTGCTTTGATCATCTGTTGCTGTGTGCAGTGGCTTTTGTTTGCCGTGCACAGTGGTGTACGGTGTATACGGCGTGTAGAGTTTGGTTTCCCCCATGTACTGTGACTCCTTGTCAATTTCTCGCGGCTTCAATGCACTCACAGCCATCTCCCATGCCGTGCGTTGCATGTCACCATCACTGTCACCATCATTGCAGGTACGACAGCAGGAGAAGAAGCAGTTTGCGGAATTCTCAAAGTCCATCCAATTTGGTTCGTGGCGCAGAGTTGGGGCAGGGTGCAAGATGGCTGTTGCTGTAGTGGTGCAGTACTTTCTGAAACCGGAAGCACGTTGTCTTCAAGTGTTACAGCCATTTGCACACACCCATCTGCACACATCACCTTCACACACAAACACACATACACACACACACTCACACGCATGCCATGCAGGTGTTGCTGGAGCAACAGCAAGCGGTGGCAACGGTGCACACGCGCAGGAGACGGGCGGTAATGCTGCAGCGGAGACGACGAAGAAGGGCGAGGAGGTCACGACAACGGGGGCACCCGCATCACAGCCGACGCAACCAGCAGCCACCACACAAGCAGGAACGACGCCAGCAGCGGCAGTGACCACAGCCACAACCACGGCGACCAGTGGGGAAGACAAGAAGGAGGAGACAGGGGGAGAACAAGGTCAGCAGAAGGAAGCAGCACCAACGGCAGCAGACACGAAAGCAGCCCCACCACCAAAGCCCGTGCTGGACCCAAACGCAGAGGAATTTGTGAGTCGCCCTCCTGTTTGTGTGCACATGTAGGTGTGCACATGTGGGTGTGGGTGGGTGTGCACATGTGGGTGTTCCATACGTGTTCACGCGTCAGAGTTTTGTCTGATAATCCTGCTCTCACACCGTTTCGGCTTCTCGTGCACACAATCCTGTCCCCCGCTACCCAGATCCCATCATACATTCCGCCGCAACAGCAGCAGCAGCAGCAGCCGGCCGCGCCTGCAGGCATGCACATGCCACCCACGAGCATGGGCATGTTTCAGCAGCCACGCCCACAGCAGCAGTTCCCACAGCAGCAACAGCAGCAGCCGCAGTACATACCGACACAGCCAGGCATGATGATGATGCCAATGCAACCCTACACGTCCACGCCGTACACCATGCAGCAGCCCATGCAGCAGCCCATGCAGCAGCCGCAGCAGATGTACCAGCCGCACGTCTCGCAGGGCCCACCAACGCCGGTGGCGTCACAGGCGTTTATGAGCATGGGCCAGCCCGGCGGGTACGGCTATGGCGGGTATTCCCCTGCACAGCGCATGCCAGGCCCAGGTCAAGGAATGCCGCACCAGCACCACGCGCAGGCCAGGTGAGGAATAGAGAAGAAGGTGCCCTGCGGGGAGGGGGGGGGGGCGGGGCGAATGTAAACGTGAGAAGAGTTTGTGAACGGTTGTGCGTGTGTGTGGGTGCGAGCAGTTGTGAACGGTTGTGAACGGTTGTGCATGTGTTGCTTCTGTCTGTCTGTCTGTCTGTCTGTCTGTCTGTCTGTCTGTCTGTCTGTCTGTCTGTCTGTCTCTTTCGCTCACCCACTCACTCGCTCGCTCACCCACTCGTGTCACATTCAACACCGACCAACCGCGTCAGGCCATACATGCAACACATGCCATTTAACCGACAGGTACGTGCCTGCGCGCATGTGTTTGCGTTATCTTGCCGACATGTTCATGCGTGTTTTGCGTCCTGCTGTGCGCTTACTCGCTGACCAGCTCACTGACACACGCACACGCACACGCACACGCACACACACACACACATACACACACACATACACACACATACACACACACACATACCTGCACCCGCCCACCACCGATCCACTACCGATCCATCACCAAATGATAGCACTAAGAAGACAAACAGATGAAGACGAGCAGGAGCGTTGTCTGGCGCGATGACACATTGGATCGTTCGTTTGCTGCCGACTGCCTTTTCTGAACTCATCTCAACTCATCGTACGGCATGGCATGATGTGGCGTGACTTTCAAGGAAAATTGAGCGATGCAAAAACACACACACACGCACATATGCACATCATATTACAGCAGTGCGCACGTGCTTGCACCATGAAACAGTCATGTTGAGTACGTGTGTCGGGTGGAAACTCATCAATAAAGCAAGCAAGAAGGAAGGGAGCAAGGCATGGGAACCAGGTGTATGGTCCACAGTGCGTTACACGTGGTAAACGTGAGTGCTTGCACACACACACACACACACACACACACACACACACACACACACACACACACACACACACACACACACACAACGCAAAACCAGGGGGCACAGACATGACAAAATGCATTTACATAGGACGCCACCTCAATCAATCAATCTCGCTCGCACAACACACACAACGCTCGTCGTCACTGCTGGTGCTGGGTCGCACCTTCCTGCGTGTGTGTGTGTGTGTGTGTTCGACACCGCGACGACCGACGTCACCTTCTCTAGCCACGACAAACACCCCCTCCCCTTCTCAAACCACAGCACCCCTTCACTGTTCCTCCCTTGGTTGTCCTTGATTATCTCTCTTCCTCTTCAGCGCCCCCCAGTACGTCGTTGGAACCCCTGGGCGCGTCGTTCATTGCTTCATGGGTCGGCACGCTCTGGACTCGTTTGGCGTCTGCTGGCAATGATGGAGGCCGGGGCAGGTCGCGTTCGCGATGACAGCCCTTCCCAAGCGGAGGCAGTGGCGGAGGGGCAGCACCAGAGGCAGGAGCGTCGCAGGCGCCGCCGTCGCCGACGTGCCAGTTACCACCGCACTGCGTCCTCAAACTTGCACCAGCGTGGGCTTCGTGCCTACCGTGTTTCAATCTACAGCCGGAACCTCATCGCTTCGCTGGCCCGCGTCATTCGCGGTGATGGCGAGCACGCCGTTGGTGCGTTTCAGAGAGTGTGTTGGGGGTTGGGGGAGGGGGTTAGAGAGAGAGAGAGAGAGAGAGAGAGAGAGAGAGAGAGAGAGAGAGAGAGAGAGAGAGAGTGTGTGTGTGTGTGTGTGTGTGTGTGTGTGTGTGTGTGTGTGTGTTGGGGATTAGAGAGAGTGTGTGTGTGGGGTGTGTGTGCGAGTTCGTGTGCGCGCGAGTTTGTGAGTGCATGCAAGTGAGCAAGTGAACCCTCGGGTGTGAAAGCCTTGCCTAGAACCCCACTGACCGATCATCTCTTCTGTTGCTGCTGTCGCTCCTTGTGTGCAGGGCACTTTCTTGCTTATCATTGCTTGCGAGCCTTGCTGTATTCGTTCAGCTTTTGCGTGTACGTGGCAGCGCAAATCCACGATGAAGAATCCACCAACACAGAAGTCTTTGTACGTTGCGGTGGTGTGCATACATAAGTGTGCGTGCGCGTGTCTATGCATGCGCATCTCTGTGTGTGAGTGTGTGAGCGTGCGTGCGTATGGCTTGGCAGTGCACCTGTTCACTTGCTTGTCCTGTGTTCATGTTTCTGACCGCGACGCGACTGCAGCGCATGGAGTCAGGTCCTGTGGGTGTGATCCAGGACATTGTCGTCTTTATCGCACTTGGTATGCTCTAATGTGTGTGTGTGTGTGTGTGTGTGTGTGTGTGTGTGTGTGTGTGTGTGCGTGCGTGCATGTGTGTGTGTGTGTGCATGAGTGTGTGTGGGTGTGTTTGCTTTTGAATCTGTCACTGTCTTTGCATTGCTTAGTTTATCTGCTTGTCCCCCTGCGTTTGCACATGTTCTCCTCCATCCCCTTCTGCCTGCAAATTCACCCTACTCCTACCATCGCTACCACCACGACTCGCCATCGGCCCTTGACAGTGGACACGGTGATTCGCGCTGTTGCACACGTGCACGCGCCAATCCTCACACACGTCGACTTCATCAACGTCTTCCTCACCGTCACAGTCGCCCTGAGGTAGGTGTGTGTGTATGTGTGTATGTGTATGTGTATGTGTGTGTGTGTGTGTGTGTGTGTGTGTGTGTGGAACCTCACTTGCTGCCGCTGGCTCTGTGTGCGGTGTACTTGTTGGTGTTCTCGCCTTACCTCACACAATGCGGATGCGTGCCGCAGGCTTGCCTTTGACTGGTACGATGGCAACTTCATCGTTCCAAACTTCCTACACATATGGGCACTTCGGGGCGCTGCTCTCAGTGTCACAACCGGCATTCTCCGGGTACGCGAGCATGTGTATGTGTCCGTGTTCGTGTTTCTGCATGCGTACATGTGTCTGTGTGCACATGTGCGTGCCCTTCTGTGTCATGCGTGCTTTGTGTTTACAACACTGTAATCTCTCACACCAACGTTGCACATGTGTATATGTTTGCACGTGTATGTGTGTATATGTTGGCTCGTGTATGTGTGTGTGTGTGTGTGTGTGCGAATGACAGATGTGCCAGCGGTCCAGTGACATTGTTGAGTTGACCGTCAGCATGCTCAATCTCATCCTCACGTTGTGTGAGTTACACGCGCACTCGACTGCACCGCCACTGTCACTGTTGACTTCCCATGACTGTCGTTGCTGCCGTTGATGTGTTGTTGTACATTGCGCTTGCGCTCACACCTCACTGCATCTCGTCCTCTTTGCATGTATGTGCGCGTGCGCGTGCGTGCCATGTGTTTGTTTTGGCATGTGTGTCATGCGTTTGTGTTGTTATATGTGCGTGCGTGCTATGTATTCCTGTTTGCGTGCGTGCGTGTAGTCTGCGTGGTCATCACATCCATGTGTGGGGTGGAGCACCTGGAAAAGGGGAACGAAAACAACTTCACTCTCTTCACCGCACTTTGGTTTGTCGTCGTCACCTTCTCCACCGTGGTACGTGCATGACCTGTGTGGGTGGTGTGCACGCGAGCACGCGCGTCCTACATGTGCATGTGTGTGTGTGTGCATGTGCATGTGCTTGCTTGTGTGCTTGCGTGTACTTGTTCGTGTGTGTGTTTGTGTGCGCTCACCTTCCACCTTGAATTACTAATACTCACACTCTCTCACTCTCTCACTCTCTCACTCTCTCACTCTCACTCACACACACACACACACACACACACACACACACACACACACACACACACACACACACACACACACACACACACACACACACACACACA